TCCGCGTGCTGTAATTCTTGGTTTCTACTCTATATGATAAGATTCTACTCTACCGCTGCTGCAATGGGAGCATTGATCCACATCGCAAACGACCTTAGCAACTAATAATTTGGGGACTGATATCACTTCAACAGGGCAAATGGGATCACATCCATTGGCGTTGCATTCCTTACAGCTGCCACTTCAATTTTCTACGCTACACAGTCCAACGCCGGCTTACTACGTTTTTCTACTTTTCTCGAGCATTCAGTTTGATTTTACTTGTCCTTCGACTTGTCGGTGGCGTCCGACTTGGCCTCCTTCGATGCCTTCGACTCCGTCTTGCTCTCCTTCTTGACCGACTTGACGTCGGCAGAGTCAGTCGCAGACCTCTTCTGACCATTCGCAGTTGCAGACTCTTTCTCACCACCAGTAGCACCGACACTTGCTGTGGCCGACTCATACCCAAATAAGCCTGGGTACCCGTAGCTAGAGTAGCCGTAGCCGCCATAACTGGGGTAGCCGTAAGAAGAGTAGTAGTCCGGGTAGTCTCCATTTCCATTGCCATACCCACCATCCAGGGCATGGGGAAATAATATAATATCAATACTATTGATATTATATTGACGGAATAACATATTATTGCTACTGTCACATTTCAGTTTAATACAAAATGTTGTATAGTACAATTGTATTGTACCGTGTCCAACCGTTTGAGCGCTGACCGTCACACACCAACCATTCCTCATCGGCCTCTAGTCAGTATTGTGCTCCTCAGCTTCAGTACGAAGCTTATTCCCAAATTCGCCCACCAAGCACCAGACAACCCCATCACCACCACCTCATGACGTCGCGCCAGCTCTGTAGTTTTTTCTACGTGGACCTTGGCGAAGGTCTATTCGAATGCAAGAAGTGCGGGTGTAGCCGCAAACAAAGCGCTGGTACGGGCTATAGTAACCTTCTTGGCCACCTTGGCACCAAGCACGCCGGCTACGTGGAGGAGTATGCCGAGCTTCAGGCCGCATCTACCGCAACGATTGACACGTTCGGATTTGTCGACGATGCGACGCTAAACATCTACTTGTGGATGAGGTGGATTATCCAGCGGAACCTGCCGATCACGGAGGTAGAGAACAAGCTAGCACGCGACGTGGTGAAGATGAAGCCGACAACTGTCAAGACAATGAAGCTCTACATGCGCTTTGTAGCCGGCAAAGTTGGCCAGGCAATCGCATCTGAAATGGGCGAGTCATTTGCCCTGATGTTCGACGGCTGGACGTGTACTTCGTTACACTTCCTTGTGCATATTTGCCGTGTACGTGGCGAATGGAGCGCGATACCAGCGGCTCAAATCCCTGTCCTCAATGGACGGAAGCCAGACAGCCGATGCACACTGTGAC